CTCGGGGCTCATGCCCCGGCGTTCAGCTGCCTCTCCAGGGCCGGCGTGTGGCCTGTGGATCAGCAGGCTGAAGCGGAAAACAAGGTCTGAGAACTTGCAACTTGAGAAGATGATGGTTACCAGCCCTGCATTGCCTCAGGGAAGAACAGGAACTACTCTACCATTCTTGAAGTGAAGGTACTTAATGAGAATAGGACAGTGTGGAATGGGGTAAGTGAAGAGAAGAGGATAGAGAAAGATAGCAAGTGAACAATAGAGAGACAGGACATTAGTGAGCAACAGATAGGGCTTATTAACTGTTGATGATGACATGTATAGAATTCTCAACTGGATTGGTCTGAGAAGTGTTTCATGACGGGCAAAGTATTTTTACAAGCAAAACGAGAAATAGCAATTGACTGTTTTATAAAAATAATTAGAATAATAAAGATAATGATTGGGGAAAACAGAAAAGATATGGAATGTTGAAGTGGGGAGATTAATGTCTCTGTACTGACTGACGTGCATGGCATTCCCTTTTGAAGAAACAATGTAATACACTGTAAAGTTATATGTAATCCAATGTAATATGAAGAAGATATGATGATAAAAAATAAAAATAAAAAATAAATAAAAAAAAAAAGTAAGCCATCACATCTTCCAGAAGGGATCATCTAGGGGAAGGCAGTGACAGGACAAGTTTCATAAACCAGTCCTCTATTGGGTCCTTGGGAATGCTTACATAAACAACCTTCGGTCTTGGTCCAGAGATCCCTTCTCAGAAACATCTTCAAATCTTCGCCGGATTACGTGGATGTTCCTGGCACAGTTGGGCAAAAAATGAGTGAGAGCAGATGCTATGTTCTGAGCGAATGTCCCCAACCCTAGGGCCACACCTGGAGGCTCCTCTTCCTTTACTTCCCTAGCCAGTAGCTCATTTTCTATGGCACGCTGGTCAAATATATTCCTTTCTTTTTCTTGAGCAATAAGTAGTACCAGAGCACTAGAAAAAGAGCACAAGTATCTAAAAGTTGCTATAAAGCTTGTCCTTACTCTGTCCTAATCACTTCAGGAAGAAGAATAAGAACATAGCTTACCCTAAGGAGCAGATGTTCCCTGACTTGGGATTGCCTCAGGCATAGATACCTAAGGCTATAACACATTATTTCCAGAAAATAGGAAACTTGAAAAAATGGAGATATCTCTGTCCCTTCTCCAGTGGGTAGATGAGCTATTGTAATGCTATCAATTTTCTGTGCAAATTAAAATTTAGATTTAAGGGATAGCTTTGTGGTAGGGGGTAATGTGATACTCAAGAGAAGCTGGATCCAACAAGGTGACCATGGTTCAAATCCACAGCACAGTCAGCTGAAACATATCAGGTACACATACAAATGCCCAAGATCTAATGAGATAGAGAAATGAAGTAAGGGGATCATGATGTGACCAGACATTGTGGAGAGTAGAGTGCTGGTCTCTATTTTTCTCACATGTGTGCACATGTGCTCTATCATGAATAAAGAAAAAATATATATACCTAAAATCATTTCAGGGGCCAGCAAATGGCATGTTGGTTAGGATACTAGACTTCCACATGGCCAACCATAGTTTGAGTCCCAGACCTGGTGGCTTGCTTCTCACTTTCCCTCTCTCTCTGGTCAAATTAAAAAATAATAATAAAAAATAAAAAAAGTTTTTTTTTTCCCCAAAAAAACCCAAGGGAAAAAAAGAGGATTTTTTTCTTAGAACTTAATATAATGATTCTAAAATCTTTCTAGAAGAATTAACAGGTGGTAATACAAAGAATATTTTATAAAAGAACAATGCTAGGGATCCAGGGCTAAAGAGTATAATAAAAGAGTGTGGATATTACTTGAAACATTAGAATAGCTAAATGAACCCTAAAGAAACCCACAGAGCCAACAATAAATAAGGCCTCCCAACTATGATGTACACAAGGCCACAATTGGTCTCACAGTATTAATGGGATCACTGGAGCTTACCTGACCTCTTCCTGTCTGTTTAGCCACGTGTTTCTTAAAGAAGAGGGGCTTAAGGACTCAGGGAAAAGCTTATGCCAGAGAACTATCTGTTTGGCTGCCAGCTAAGATATTTTCAACTGCCAAAGATAGGTCCAGGCTCCTACCAGACTCTTAGTGCCAATGCTCAGTGTACCAAACTCCATTTTTCTGTAGTTATACTGCTTTGTGCCTGTGGCATCTTGCTCAAACTATTTAAAGTTCAGAAATTGGAGTAGGATTCTAAATGTGTATTTCTGACCTCTGAGCTTGGTCTCTTACTGTTTCATTGCTGCTTCTCCCTCCCTTAGCTGAATCTCTTGGACTAAACTCTGTTTGACTAACTCCTTTCCACTTAGCCAAAATACAGATCTTAGTATGCCCTCTCCTTACCTGCCTGAAATCTCATGAGGTCAGGAGTGACATTAAGCTGAGTCTTTGCTTTGGGCTGAGTGGGGAAGAGACAAGCTAGGGAGAGAGTTCCAAGGGCCAACGGCCTTGCTTTTTACTTTGTAGTACAAACGACTCTGTTCATGGATAGGGGTGGGTGGGGGAAGGTGGCACCTGACCCAGGCTGGCCCACCTCCAAGAAGAGGCAGAGGATGAAGGCTGGAGGCTGTAGTTTAAAGTGCATGCCTTGGCTAATTATGTGAGCTGCTATCTGCCAAACAATTGGAGCCAGACCCAGAAAACATATTCTACTTCCTCCTGTCTTCGGTTCTGAACAGTCTATCGGAAAAGGACTAGGAAAGTTGTCAGTTAAGGAAGGTGAAGTGGTAATAGCATTCTAGCTGGGAGAGAGGACACCAGATTCCTGGTCTTGATTCTGATTCCTGGTCCTAGCTGTGCCAGTCACTTAAAGCATGTCCTTGGGCTCTGATTTTCCCATCTTTAAAATGTGGATGTTGGGTCCAGGAGATGGTGTAGTGGTAACGTCACTGGACTCCACATGAACAACTGCAATTCAAGTCTAAGGCCCAGTGGTTTGAAAATCACGCTGGGTGGGGAGCAGCAGTTAGCGTAATGGCTATGTCGCTGGACTCCCATGTAGTCGACCGTGGTTCGTGTCCCGGACCTGGTGGCTTAAAACTCACTCCAGGCGTGTGTGCATGCCTGCCCAAGGTCCTGAGAGGAGAATGGAGGAGAAGGGATTGAGGCATGGCCATCCCTCCAGGGGGTGATTTCTCACTTTCTGTCTCTCTGTCTCTCTCTCTCTCTGACTGGTGAGCACACGCGCCCTATAGCAAAAACCTCTCCAAAAAAAAAACAAAAAAAGCACACTGGGTGTATATGTGTGCATGCCCAAGATCTTGGGAGGAGAATGGAGAAGAGATTGTGACATGGCCATCCCCCTAGTGGGGGGGATGAGAGTGCATGTGCTCTGTGGCAAAAAAAAATCTATAAATAAAATTAATTAATTAAATAAAATAAGATCTTTAAAAGCATGAGATAATTGATCACTAATGAAAATTTACCAGCTTTATAAATGTTGTTTTTAAATTCATGTTACAGAACCGTATCTCTTGGAGGTGGAACAATGTAGTAGAATGAACAGTTTTTAGAGGGACATAGATACAGGCTTTAGAGGCAGATGAATTCTAAACTTACTAGTTGTGTAACTTTCAACCTCTCTGAGACTCTGCTTGCTCTTGTATAAGATAAAACTAGTACATGTTAAATGGTAGCATTACATGATGATTCACACTGAGTTTTTTAGAGCATTTTTCATATCCATAATCTCATTTAATCCTCACTACCACTCTTTTAGGTATTATTATTATCCTTGTTTGACAAATGAGGAAACTGAAGCTCAGAGAAAATAACTGCTTTGCCAAGATCAAGTGCTGAGTCAGCAGAAGAGTCCAACTGACTCTCACAATGGCAGAAGCCAGTTCTGGCTCAGGTGCTACCCAACTTCTACCCACCAGCACTTAATTCTGGGTACACAAGTCTTTCCTCTCCATGTTATTCATAGACTAACAAGAGAAATCTTGAACAGTATTCGTTCATCAGCAATTCTCCAGCTGACCCTGGCTTCATTCTCTTAAAATTCAACCTAGCCAAGAGTTCTACTTGATAGCACATTTGTTTGATGATTTCTAACTCCTCAAAGTATATGGTTTCTTGGGTCTTAGTGAGGCTTAGCAAACCCAGAAAGGCTCTCTTAGAAGCAATAATGTGATTAAGAATAGAGTTTCTCAGGACCAGCAGTTGGCATAATGGTTATGTCACTGGACTCCCATGTAGTTGACCATGGTTCAAGTCCTGGACCCGGTGGCTTTAACTCATGCCAGGTCCGTGTGCATGCGTGCCCAAGATCCTGAGAGAATGGAGGAGAAGGGATTGCGGCATGGCCATCCCCCCTGGGGGGTGATTTCTTGCTTTCTGTCTCTCTCTCTCTCTCTCTCTTTCTAGCGAGCACATGTGTCCTATAGCAAAAACCTCTCAAAAAAAAAAATATATATATATATACTCTGGACTCCCACGTGGTTGACTGACCATAGTTCGAGTTCCAGACCCAACAACTTAAAACTCATGCCAGGTACGTGTGTGTACATGCTCACCCAAAATCCCAGGAGGGGAATGGAGAAGGGATTGCAGTGTGGCCATCCCCTCAGGGAAGGGGCAATTTCTCACTTTTTGTCTCTCTGTCTCTCCAGCAAGTGCACATTCCCTATAGCAAAAATCTCTCTTAAAAAAATAATATAGTTTTTGGAGGGAGGTGGACTCTGGGTTCTGTGACCAATTCACCACTTAACCTCAAGAATTCACTTTACTTTTCTGAACCTCATCTGTAAAATGGAGATGAACAGTACCTACCTCAGAGCATTTGTTATTAGGATTCAATGAGATCCCTTATTTTAAGCACTGAGCACAAGTTCTTATTTAGGACTATTTCACTGCATTGCAATAACTGTTAATAGTATAGTAGCCTCTCAGTTATGCAGAAGTCACTTAGCTAACATCCTCACACACCTGAAACATGGTTAGAAACTAGGAAGGAGGGGCCAGCAGGTGGCATGGTGGTTAAAAGCGCTGGACTCCCACATAGCTGACCACGGTTCAAGTCCTGGACCTGGCAGCTTGCTTTCTCACTTTCCCTCTCTCTCTTTCTCTGTCTCTCTCTGACCAAACTAGAAAAGAATGATAATAATAAATAAATAAAGGTAAATAAAAAATAATTCTAAAAAAAAAGAAGAAAAAAGAAACTAGGAAGGAGGCAAAAAATTATCTCTAAGAACCATGGTTCAAATCCTTGGCCCAGTCAACCTGAAACACTCCAGACACATGCACAAGTGCCCAAGATCCAGTGGGCCAGAGGAAAGGGTTTGTAGCATGACCAGATCCTGTGGAGGGTGCACCTCTCTCTCTCCCCATTAGCCCTAATGTGTGAGCACATGCACTCAATCATGAATAAAGGGAAAAAATGCCTCTAAGCAGTTAAAATAGGACCATAAAATTTCTAAGTCAAAGTTTATGCTTATTACTTAGCAGAGGTCTTCTCACTCTTTATACACATCATAATCTGAATCATCTGCTTTCCCAAACCACCGAAAATCAGAAAATAGGTATGGGAATGGAGTGGAGGATTCTACAGTCAAGCACACTGATAGCAGTAAAAAGTAAGAGCTATAATCAAGAAGCAAACAGGAAAACTATGAAGAAAATGAATTTGAACTTACCGCCTAGAAGTCAGAGCTACTAGCATAGGAAATGGCCTTAATGCCTTTCTAACTCTAGGTGCACCACTGTATTACAACAAGATGCAATTACTGACCGTCATAATGATGACCTCTAGCCAACAAGATGTTAAATTATAGTCAGCATCTCTTATTTAAGAAAGATGCCCAAATCTCCATTAAAATAATTTTGACAGATCAGCTGGTTGGTGTAATGGTTAAGGCACCTGGATTCCACATGGCTGACTACACAATTGGAGTTCTGGACCCAGCAGCTTGAAAAATATACTGGGCACATGTGCATGCATGCTCAAAATCCCAAGAGGAGAATAGAGATGGGATTGTGGTGTGATCATCTCCTGGGGAGGAGTGGGTGGCTTTCTCACTTTCTCTCTCTTTCTGGCAAGTGCACACACCCTCTAGTAAATCTTAAAATAATAATAATAATTCTTGCACTTACTTAAAGATGTTCTTAGAAAATCTTGTCATTTCCTAATGTCAGACAACAAAGTTGCTATATCTATGAGGAGGATTTTACACCCTTACTTGGCTGAGCCGTAGAGCTCCCAGGCTTTGGCGATCCCCAGGGCCAGTCCCTTACTGGGATTATTGGAGAGAATCTTGGAAGCTTCTTTGGTCTTACTCAGGACATTGAGAACATGTCTGTTGGAGGAGAGATGGTCGCTCAGTAATTGCATAGACCTGGAAGACCCCTCGATGAATGAATTCACAGATACTTACAGGAACATTGCTCTGAGAATCAGCTGAATACTAAATAGTTCTTACCATTACACTCTTAGAAGATGCACTTTAGGTTGAAATATGCTGGCTGCCCTAACTCAGGCCTTCTCTGGTATACATGCCCAGAGGAGCCCTGTGACCCCATGTCCCACCCCACCCCAGCTTCCCAGTGAGCTGGAGCTCCTTACTCTGGGCCCCCAGGTGCTATCTGAAATCCTACTGCAGTCCAGCTGACACCATAGCAACCTGGCACATCACTGCTAGCTAGGATCCATTCCTCAAATGGAAGCCCTTATATTCTTCTCTGCCTTAGACTCTGACCTCCTTTTAGGCCCCCAAACAAGCTCTTTCTCACCTCAGGGCCCTCAAAAAATACTGTTTCCTTTGCCTGGGGATACTAATTTGTACAGCAAAAGGGTAGGAATAGATGAGCCAAGAAGTCCTCCTTTCCTTGACATACTAAAGATTTTTTTTTTTTTTTACAATTAGAAACTATGCTAGGGGCAAAAACACATGACCTAGGACCCAGGAAGGTACAGTCAGAGTTGAAGATCCCTGGCCTAGCCAATTATAGGCCCATCAGGCTTTTACCCCACAGGTGTACCCAGGGCTGCCCAAGGGACCCACCGGTGCACAGCTGGGGTCCGAGAGGCCAGGCCCCCAAAGCTGGCAGAGATGGTGTTGATTTCAATCTGTTTCAGGGCTGGGAAGCCATCTGCGCTGTGCTGGAACATGTAGTCTGAGCGGTTAAGGACCAGGAACAC